TTTGTTGGATAGGTCATGTTGTTCAGATGCCTGATTATCGTCTTCCAAAGCAACTACTCTATTCTGAACTTAAACATGGAAAGCGTAATGCTGGTGGTCAACGAAAACAGTTTAAAGACTCTCTCCAGGCAAAAAAAATATGTAGTATAAACACTGGCTTGTGAGCACTCCAATTGGAGAACAGCCTTTACCAAAGGTGTCATGGGCTTTGAAGACACTCGAACTCAGGACGCAAGGGAGAAACATGCTCAGAGGAAGGCACGCTTGGCAAATCCACACCATGATCAGCTCCCACCCGGAAACCTATGTCCCCACTGTGGAAGAACGTGTGGATCCAGAATTGGCCTCCACAGTCACTTATGGACTCACTGTTAAGACCGTGTTCATGGAAGACAATCTTACTCGGCTACAAGTCATAGAATCATAGAATCATAGAGTTGGAAGAGACCACAAGGGCCATCGAGTCCAACCCCCTGCCAAGCAGGAAACACCATCAGAGCACTCCTGACATATGGTTATCAAGCTTCTGCTTAAAGACCTCCAAAGGAGGAGACTCCACCACACTCCTTGGCAGCAAATTCCACTGTCGAACAGCTCTTACTGTCAGGAAGTTCTTCCTAATGTTTAGGTGGAATCTTCTTTCTTGTAGTTTGGATCCATTGCTCCGTGTCATCGCCAAAGAAGAAGACCCGTTTTAGAACTGAGCTGTCCTGAAAGTATTAATGCCTTTTTGTGAATATTTGCAGAAAAAAACATGACTTTATATGATAATTTGAAGGTAGGGTCACTCTTGGGGGGGGGACCTTAAGGAACAATCCTATAGCAAAATCTATTGGGATGAACCAGAAGGTGCCCATGTCGGGATACCTGGTTCACACCCCTTCAAAAATGGTGTGTTCATGGCCACGGCCCCCTGGCACCTCCCCCCCCCCACTGTGCCCCTGCATCCACCCACTGCTAAGATCCAGGCAGAGGGCAGGGAGTGGTGGTGAGTGGCGCTCCTGCCCACTCAGACTGGTATGGGGCCTTCTGAACCCCTGGTCAAGCCAACTCCTTGTGGTTTGCCTGTTGTTTACTGTATGATCGCTAACTGGATAGGATAACCCATGTGATTACTCCAGGAAGGAGGAAGATGAAGCTGAGGGGTAGCTCAGTTGGGCTGTGGGTTCGAGCCCCACATTGGGTGAAAGATTCCTGCATTGCAGGGGGTTGGACTAGTAGAGGATCCTTGTAGTTCCTCCCGACTCTACAATTCTAGGAAGCATCCAGAAAGAGAAAGTGGTAGCAGGAAGCAGCATCCAGGGACACAATAGTGCTGAATAAGACGTTTTAAAACAAACAAAGCATGATGATGACATATATTTTCAGAGAAATTATTTGGGATAGCATTTGTCCCCAATGAAATGGCTAATTTTAATCTGCAAGTTGAAAAAAGATTATTCCGCATAGCTTTAATTGAAATAATAAGCCCCAAGAGTGGTTATATGAGTTTGCCATGATACAGAATGGTGTTAGTTTCATTTTAAGCTGAAATGAGCCAGTGTTCTGTAGTGGTTAGAGTGTTGGACTAGGACCAGGGAAACTAGGTTCCAAATCCCCACTTGGACATGAAGGTCTCATGGGCCAGTCAGTCACAGTTTCTCGGGCTGCCCTACCTTACAGGGTTTTTGTGAAAGTAAAATGGGGAAAGAGGAGAACCAATGTGCTTCCTTGAGTTTCTTCGAGGCGGGATATAAACAATAACTACAGTGGTACCTCGGGTTAAGTACTTAATTCGTTCTGGAGGTCCGTTCTTAACCTGAAACTGTTCTTAACCTGAAGCACCACTTTAGCTAATGGGGCCTCCTGCTGCTGCCGTGCCACCGGAGCACGATTTCTGTTCTCATCCTGAAGCAAAGTTCTTAACCCGAGGTACTATTTCTGGGTTAGCGGAGTCTGTAACCTGAAGCGTATGTAACCTGAAGGGTATGTAACCCGAGGTACCACTGTAATGATGAAAGGAGATTAGAGTAGAGGTTCAACATTAGGAAGAGCAGACTTTAAAAAGGGTGATTGCACTTCTGGATAGCTCGTTGGTTAGAGTGTGGTGCTGATAAAGCCAAGGTTGCAAGTTTGATCCCCGTATGAGATAGTTGCAAGTTCCTGTACCCAGGGGGTTGGACTAGAGGATCCTCAGGGTCCCTTCCAACTCTATAATGCTGCAATGGGTATGGTTATAATTCATGGAGGCTCTGAATGTGCACCACACAATCCACTAATGATGAGATGTCTGCTTCTTCTGCTCCAAGATCATGCACTTGTGTGAAGAGAGTAGGCTTTTGTATTATGGAGCACTTGCAGTTCTAGTATTTTCAGAAGAGACATTTCAAGGAAGTGAAGTTCAGAATGTCATAGAACTTAAGGTATATCCAGCTGCAGTGCAGACCTAATGGGGAATGTGTCAGCACCATTCACAATAGATGTAGGTGCAAAAGAAACAGAGAAAGGTAGATTTTCCTCCTGACACTTCAACACCTGCTAGTAACCTGAGATAAACTCAGGGTTCTAACACGGCTGTCTTATATAAACTGTCTTTTGTACTACTAGCCGTTGCAATGAAAAAGCTTTTTCACCTCTTATAATTTGGAGAGTGATCATGATGAATAAGACTATGGACACCTACTGGCTGCTGCGCAATCCTATGGATACCCACTCTGCAGTGAGTCCCAGTGAATTGTCTTGCATAATGCAAGTTGTGTTGGCTGGCTGGCTGCTGAGTCCCAACAAAGTGTGCCGGGAGCCACAACCCTAAAATAGCACCAACCTTTCTGACACAGCATCTCCTTGCTGGCTGGCACCCATTGAACTAGTTGTTACAGTTGCATTCCGCGCTCTTTTTTCATTTTGTGTTTTTTGCACAGAACATTGGAAGCTGCCTTCTGCTGAGTCGGACCATTGGTCCATGTAGTTTAGTACATTGACTGGCAGCTTCTCTCCAGCGTTTCAGACAGAAGTTTCTCCTGGCCCTACCTGGAGATGCTGGGGATCAAACTAGGGACTTCTGAATGTATGACAGATGCTCTGACACTGTGCTATATAGCCCTTACTGAGACAGGGAAATTTTTCAGTTGCTTTTCATTGCTATCGGCCAGCTTCTTGAAATGATTTAAAATTAGCTTATCCCCCAGGGTGGTGGATGCAATTTCTTCCACTTTGGTCTCACCTATAAATCTGGAGAGCAGTTCTGTGCTGCAGTACTTCAGCGTTGACAGCTTTGTAGTCCAGGGTTTGGACTCCAGTGCTACACCAAGCTCTCTTATTATTTCACCTGGGTAATGTTCTCTGTCCTTCTTCTAAAATTGCCAGTCTACCCATACGTTCCTCATCTTTTGATTTCCTCCTCTCCCTGGCACTCTGCCCCCCTCGGGTTGCTGAAGGGGTGGTGGTGTAATATGGAAATGAGTTACTCTTAATGCAACAGTACCCCCTACTGGCCACGTGGGGAGTACCGCCATTCCAATACACGGTAATCCATCCAGTATATTCGAATCAAGTTGCTGTGTGAAATTAGTGCCGTCGGCGGGGGGTCTTTTTGAGAAGGAAAAAAAAAGGGATGGTGGGGAGGTGGGGATGGAGAGGCACTGTAGAGCGACGGTATGAGGCAGGATTATTAACAGCGCCATTAAAATAGCCGAGGAAGCTGCGCTCGTTAAGTCGGAAGCGCTTTGACTGAAACGCACGCAGAGACCCCACAGAGGAGCGCAAAAAAGGGCGTCCTTTGAAAGTTAAGATATGCCATCAGAAACTCATCTTCCGCCGTGCCGCCGATGAAACCGGGAATGGGGTGGGGAGAACTAGGGGGCTCTTCGGCGGCCTTTCCCCCACCCTCTTTCTCTCTGTAAACCCAAGATCGGGCGGCAGATGCGTCGCCACAGAGGTTCGCATTTGCGCGCTAGCTAGGTGACTGGATGGAGGGGTGCCGAGCGAGGCGTCCGCGACCACCCCGCGCACCCTTTGCTTTCCGGAAAGCCGAGCAGGTCGTGGGCCACCTCGCCTTGCCTCTGCGCTGCTGCTTCGCGGGCGCGCGCGTGTGTGTTGTGTTGCGAAACCTTGCGAGCGCGTGATGCCTCGCTCCCCGTGTGCGCCTGCTGAGCGTAGGTATTTAGCAGCCAACTCTATCCGAAGTTAAGTGAATAATGACGAAAATTACTATTTTCAACTGGAAATGTCTGTAAGCGCTTTAGAAGATTTGATCTAATAATGGCCTCCCTGGAAACCTTGCATTTTGGTGACTTTCATGCTCCTAGCAGGGGGGCTCATCTTCTCTTCTCTCTCCTTAGCGCGGCTTAACCGCAATCCTTATTATGCTCTGGCTGAGCACGAAAGGGGTGTGTGTGTTGGCGTGCGCGCGCGCGCGCCAGCGGGAAGGTTGCCCCCCCCCTTCATCGCTTTCCCTTCGCTCGACGTTTCCCCTTCTTCGCCACCACGAGAATCACCAGGCGGCTCTTCAAAGGAAACCCACCTCAGCTGCGCTCGCAGTTGCTTGTTGTCGCTGCTGCTCCGTTACAAAAGCAGTCGAGAGAGGCTCTTGGCACCGAGGTGGCACACAACGCAAACACGCTGGGTGGGGAAGCAACACCCGGGCACTCTTCCATTGATTTCGCTTTTGCGAGTGCTCCAACTCCCCTGCCTCCTTGCAGGAGTCCTTTCTCCGGCGTCGAGTTCCCGTGCAGAAGCATCATCTGCTTAATTACATTGATCTCCCCCTCCCTCCCTCCCTCCCGGATCGCCTTGTGCCAAAACAAGACGGGATGCATTATTGGGGTTTTTGCAGTTGCTGAGGTCAAGGCAAGTGACGGGAGCGAGTGCGTGGCGTCCGCCCTCCCCTACTCTGAGCGAGAGACGGCGAGCGAGAAAAGGCAAGCGTTAGGACTCGGGGGAAATCTCTCTTTCTCTGCCCCCTCTTCCTCCTCCTCCTTCCCCCTTCGCTTCTTCAATCAGCTTGTGCTACTCATCAGATCAGGGATAGCTGAGGCTTCAGCTGTGTGCGCCAGAGAGCCGCTCTCCCAACTCCTCGGTCTTTCCAATGCAAGGGATGTTTGCAAGGCGCGCGGAGAACCACCGGCTGTGCTGCTGCTGCTGCTCCCGCTACCACCCTGGGCAGGGGATGTGAACTCCTTTAAAGAATGACTAGGATTGCCACGATTGCCATTCTTTTGCAGCTGTTGCAAAAAACCGGGGGACAGGTCTTCGCAGGTAAGGGGCGTTGGGCTCTCGCCGCGTGCCTCTGTGCAGCGGGAGGAGGTGGGTGTCTTGAACTCCGAGCAGCGCTCCTCAAGACGACCGTGGGTTGCGCTGCGTCGCGTCCTCCCTTTCCTTCCGGGTGTGTAGCTGCGAGTGTGAAAGACTAGGTCAGATGGCCATTCCTTGCACGTTGGAAGCTGTACTCCTGGCCCCGTTTACTTGGGAGTCCGCTCCATTGAACTCAGTGGGACTTGCTTCTGAGTCGACCTGTATAAGTTTTTTTAAAAAATATATGTATAAATGCATTGTATTGGCTGGCTGTCTTGGCTTGTGGGAGATTGACTTCGCATGATGGGTGTTCAGAGCTTATCTGGCAAGCTCTAGGTAGAAGCTGAGCTATAGGGAATATAGGCGTTTTGCGTTTTGCTTGCCCATCTTGTTACACACGCGCAGCCATAAAACGCCAATCAGGAGGCAGCCTTGAGCTTATTTACACGGAGTAAGTCCCATTGAACTCAAGGAAGCTTGTTTCTGTGTAGACATGCATAGTATTGCACTTTCTTCAAGTGTGGTGAAGACAGCTGAGGAACGTGGCTTCCACAGGCAACTGAAAATAAGGAAGCAGGTTAGAGTATTGTTGGCTTTCAGTATCAGAAATGGAACTTCCAAATAAACTCTGTGTTGTGTTTGGCTTCATGGGAATTTTTTGTTTGGGGGGCACCATTAGACATGTTTTTATATTTTAGGGAGCCTTTTTTAAAAAAAAAAATATGTTGTGCCTTGTGTGATATTTGAAGGCATTCCTTCATTTGCGGAGTCAAGGCTCTCCAGTCCTTTTTATAGTAAACAGTTGGTCTCCCATCAAAGGAGGAGAAGGAGTGCCAAGTGTTTCAGAAATGTGCCACATCAGGTTAAGGAGTCCGGCTGTACCTTTAAATCACAACTTGGGAATGTTTTAATTGAAAGTTCATTGGGTAACTCCTCCACCCCTTTCCCCACCAACCTCTGGGATCTAAAGGGCTGGAATAACTTTCTTTGGATGGCTGACAAGTCTGATTTGTTCTTTGACACTTGTCCCATCGCTGTCATTTTAATCTTGAGAGAGGTTGTGTCTTGGAGCATACACAGCCCTTTGGAATCTCATTCCCTTCATTCTTCAGTCGGAATTTCCTTGTGAGAGATGATTCCTCACATGGTTTCTTTATCCTGCTGTAAATTTCTCCCCCTCCCGCCGCCGTGTAGATTCCTCACATGCTTTCTTTGTCCTACTGTGGACTTTTTTATTTTTAAAAGTCTGTCTGAAAAGTAAATAATAATTACCTATATTTAAGAAAATGTCCATCTCACCTACCCAGTTATTGAAAATTATTATTTTAAATACCTACAATCCATTTATGGAGACAACAGCTGTAAGGCATGGCTACTTGGGTATTACAAGTATTGAGGCTCGACTCCAGCAACCTTCAGGCTTGAGTGCAATTCAGCAGAATGGTCTTTTGGGCTAAGAAGATGCTGAAAGATCAAAGAACTCTTGGCTGCTCTGTGAAATATACTCCTATTGGCAGAGCATGCAAATAGGGAGATCACTGTTCAGAAGCCTGCAAAAAAATCTCTCCTTGAAGGCTTCTACTGAAAATGTTAAACTTAACTTTAAAAAAGGAGGGAATCATAAGAATGGAAGTGACCCTATTAAGCTCTGCAAAAGGCAGAGTGATCTGCATAACGGGGAACAGAAAGTAACTGACTGAGTTACTGTATTCTGGACTTTCCTGGTCTGGTGTTGCTCAGATGTTTTGGACCACAACTCCCATCATCCCTGACCATTGGCCACACTAGCTGGGGCTGGTGGGAGATGTAGTCCAAAAGTTTATCAGCTTGGGAAGGCTGCTATATGCCGCGTATATCATTGTGGGAAAAGGAATAAAAAACTGACAAATTCACCATTGTGACACTCCTCCCATAAGAAGGGAGTTCACTCAAATATCATTTCCACTGTTTGTGGCTGCTGAACAGAGGACTTCTGAGATGTGTAAATTTCAAGACAAGTTAAGTTTAGACTAACATCCTGTCAACATATTGACATGGAAATAATCCCCCATTTTCAGTAGACTTGCTTCTTCCTCTTTTAGGATTGTTACGTGAATTATCAACTTGCGCTTGAATCTTTACCATGTTGGATTCTGTAGAACTTGTTTCTTGTTTGCATTGTCAAAAAGCGGTGATCGTATGAGCATTTGTTCTGCACTAATTTCCACTTGATTCAGCAGAACTTGCATAATATTTGTGTGTTGCCCGTTACCATTATTGGTAACACAGCTTGCCAATGGCAGATCCCCTACCTGGAGGGGCAGCCTGGAAGTGGGGGAGAAGAATCTGTCAGATGGGGTAAGGGGGTAGATTGAGAGTTCATTATCAAACAGCAGCACTGTGGTCCTTTAATCTGAGTTTTGGTATCACTGTCCAAACTTTTATAAAGCGAAGGAGGAGATGGAGGTGGAGACAGAAATGGGAGATGGCGAACAAATGTAATTATAAAACTTAAAAGTGAATTGGGCCCCACAGATTATCCAACGGGTCAGAAGCTTCCATTATCACTGTTTGTTAAGGAAGAAAGCCAGTGTTTGCTTTCTGTGATTGTGAATGCCACCTTTCACCCCCTCCTTCAGTTGCCTGCTATGCTGCTGAAAAAGATAAAAGAATCTTATTTATAGAAATAAACATGACTTGGTGAGCCACTTCTGTAAATGAGGTTATGGGAAGCGCTGCCTGTTTTATTTTTAAGATTACACTTAACCACCGAAGACTTAATGCCCTGTAACCAATTTGCACAGCTAATACTCTGATAATGAAAGCAAAGATGAAATAAACGTTCACGAACGCCTCACCTCTCTGATGGATTTTCATGCCTAACCACATGAAAGCTTCCATCTGTTGCAGCCAATGTATTTTCCCCGTTGTCCATCAGATGGTGCTGCCTTCATAACTATTAGATGCAATTATAGACTTGTCCACACAGGCTTTCCCATTGAGCTATGCTTTCAGTGCCTTTCCGTCTTCTGTCAAAACTTCCAGGGTGTCCAGTTCTCTGAAGCTGGCTGTTGGAGTTTTGTTACTTGTTTGCAAAAAAAATGGATCTCAGAATATTGGATCAAGATTGAAAAACCCAAGACTGAAGTGATATCTTGGTACTGCTTACATCTCCATGTCCCATAGAAGCCAGCAGGGCTGAGGCAAATGCAAATTACAGTTTTGTTTCTTGCGAAATTATTGACCATCAACTAGTAGACTTGGGCTGCAGTCCTAACCCCACTTACCTGGAAGTAAGCCCCACCAAATTCAATAGGACATACTTCTGAGTAGACATGGTTAGGATTGCACTCTTAGAGCAGTACAGTGGTACCTCGGGTTAAGTACTTAATTTGTTCCGGAGGTCTGTTCTTAACCTGAAACTGTTCTTAACCTGAAGCACCACTTTAGCTAATGGGGCCTCCTGCTGCTGCCATGCCACCGGGGCACAATTTCTGTTCTTATCCTGAATCAAAGTTGTTAACCCAAGGTACTATTTCTGGGTTAGCGGAGTCTGTAACCTGAAGCGTCTGTAATCTGAGGTACCACTGTGTTACCTCCTCTCAGAAAATAGCCTGCTGTACAAAGATAAAATTCAGTTTTTATTTTTACAGTGTATGTAACCTGAAGCATATGTAACCCGAGGTACCACTGTAGTTTTCAAACTTTCCTGCTACAGAGAACACATTCCACACACATTTATCTGCTGATGAACTGTTGTCTTCTGTGGACAGTTATAGGGAGGCAATGACAGCTTGTGCAGAGAAGATGAGTGAACTGAAAGTACCTTCTAGAGGCACTTCTGAAAACCTCCACAGCTGCATATTGCATGGGGAAGATTGGTAGTGATGAACAGAGTGGGAATCTTCTCCATCATTACTGATTTTGTCACTGAGAAGCCCTTGGTAAGCTTGAATAAGAACAATCCAGCAATTTTTTTTTCATACTTTTGGAAAGACCACAAGTGGGACATGAAACCCGTAGCTTTCACCTGCTGTATTTGCCTCCAGTATTCTGTGGCCTGCTGCTTCTGCACATAAGAGATCCCATTTAGATCTCTCAGCGGCTATTAGCATTGATAGCTACCCTTCATGAATGTGTCTATTCATCTTACAAAACCATCTAAGCCAATAGCCATTACCACGTCTTGTGGCAGTGAATCCTACAAATTACGCATTGTGCGAAGGGCTTTGTTCTGCTGGTCCTGAATCTATAGCCAATCAATGTCTTTATGTGAGTTCTAGGATGACGGGCTTTCCAAAGTTTGGAAAGCTGCGTCTTAGCACTTCACATTTTGGGTGGAAACAAATGACTGTTTGCCAAATGGGAATGTGTCACAATTAGGATGCAACTGACAGCAAGCCAGGACAGTTTCCATTTGTGGAAGTTCTCACTTTGCTGTAAAGTGATCACTTCTCACATAGTTCTGTGTACCACTTGTTAAACAATCATCTGTACTCATCTACTGTTAGAAGTTCCTTGCCAGACTGCTGCTGATATTTCCTAATATGCATACCACTTGTGGCAAATGATCAGTGTTTTCTCCGCAATTGCTCGCTGGAGCAAATGTGCTTCTGCACTTAAAAAAAAAAAAAAAAAGCATGTAGCTCTTCCCTTAGGACTTTTAGATTTGTTCCATGGGTTTTCTTTGCAGGTTAGAATAGTAGAACGTTTCATGTACTCTTTACATTGGAGTAGTCTATTAGCTTCAGAGTTGATATCTGTGGGGAGTGAAACACAGTATGTTTCATAAGTTCCCTCAGACAGCAGTATTCCATTTCAGCATATGTTAAATCTAACCACTGGCGGAATTCTTATCGGCATATGCAGTTTGCATGAGCTTCACCAGTAAAGAATGGAGGGGAGTCTACCATGCTGTTGTTTACAATTGATACTGCTTTGGACTTACATATGAAATATGTTCTATGGAAGATCCCTGAATTAAGCAATCCGTAGCAGTGGATAACCACTAAGAGCATTGAAAATGGGTCGAGGATGGGTATTCCAGCATGACAATGACCCAAAACACACAGCCAAGGCAACAAAGGAGTGGCTCAAGAAGAAGCACATTAAGGTCCTGGAGTGGCCTAGCCAGTCTCCAGACCTTAATCCCGTCAAAAATCTGTGGAGGGAGCTGAAGGTTTGAGTAGCTACACACCAGCCTCGAAATCTTACTGACTTGGAGAGGATCTGCAAAGAGGAGTGGGACAAAATACCGTCTGAGATGTGTGCAAACCTGGCGGTCACCTACAAAAAACCTCTGTAATTGCCAACAAGGGTTTTGCCACCAAGTACTAAGTCATCTTTTGCAAAGGGATCAAATACTTATTTCACTCATTATAATGCACATCAATCTCTGACTTTTGTCTTCTGGGTTTCTGGGGGTTTTCCTGTTGTTATTCTGTCTCTCACAGCTACAATAAACCTACCATTAAAATGATGGACAAGACATTTCTTCGTCAGAAGGTAAACGGGCAAATTTAGCAGGGGATTAAATACTTTCCCCCCTCACTGTATAAGTAAAACCATTCCATCTTCTATCTACCTAACAGGTACTTACTTAGTGCCCAGCTCACCAAGTCATTTCCCTGACTCTTAAGAGTCCAAAACACTTCCCAAAAGTGTTGCTAGATTTTTGCCTCGGGGATTTTATTGTTTTATCTGAATAACAGTTTTTAGTTTCACTGTATGTTGATTTATTAGCATGTGTGTATGTGTAGTCATATACACGATTTTTTGGAAACCACTTAGAAACTTAGAAAACACATTATTTTTTGCCTCTTAGAAAACACATTTTTAATATGAAAAAATATGAAATTCTATAGGTATGAATTGAATAAATAAATAAATAAATAAATAAATAAATAAATGCAACCCAGTGCCTTGTTATCATGCAGAATGCAAGAGCGTCTGGGGGGAACTTTGTATGCCTCGAGGTTTGTTTTGCCCTTTTCTCTGATCTTTCCTTTACATTACAAATTTTAGCTGTAGCAGAGGCGTCATTTTCCTTCCAAATGTGTAGACTGATATGAACGCTTGGAATATTATCAGATGGACCATTGCGAAGAAAAATACCACATCATTGTATGAGGCAGCAGTTAAGGGCATTTTTGGCGGTAGAGGCAATGGAAGTTGGAAGTGCGTGGGGGCAGAAATGCAGAGAGATTTGGGAGTATAGTTAATTCACGTTACTAGCCCCCTGCCTTTGGTATGTTGGTCCTGTGCAAATGTAAGATGCTGAACATGGCAACTGTTAACAATATAGCAATTTAACTCCAAAATCACTTTCCCTTTTCTCTGGGGAACTCTTAGCTGTTCAGTCCAATGTTGTTTTCCTCTTGGCTGGCTTGATTTGTTTTTGCATAAAAGAACAATTAATGCTAAAAAGGTACTTGGAAAATAACAGCAGGAACTGGGTCTTTGCTTGTAAAAAGGCAAATGGTTACTGTAGCTCCAATTTATATTGCATCTCCCCTTTTGCAAATGTTTAGCCTTCTCTCTACACACTGGTTTGTCCTGTGTTCGTTTGAGGGAGCCCTAGAGCCTGCCACCCATAAATGGTTTTTGGAACTGTGTGTGTGTGTGTGTGTGTGTGTGTGTGTGTGTATTAGACAATTATTATTGAATACTGAAGTATCCTTTCTTTAAAATAAGGGATCACTGTTAGTTGCCATGGAAACTACTGTGCTGTCCAAAAAGGTAGATCTTAGTTTTGTGGAGCAGAGATTGGAGCAAAGGTTATTTCTTCTGGCAACTACTATTTATGATGTGTATTAAAACCTTTTGCAGCTAATAGACAAAATAAGATAAATTGATTTTGAGTATTTGTGGCTTTGAACGCTCCCTTAGTTCATGGATAGTTCATAGTCCTTGCCTTTAGCTTTTTAAATGTCTTACTTAGCTACTCCTCTACAAACAACTTACTTCTAGAGAAGTTGCACTGAAGTCCAGAGGGTTACAGCAGAGAAAGAGTAATAAAAATTTGCTGTTGTTAAGCACATCTGCAGAAGAATGCAATATCTGTTTCCCTTACTCTTGTGAGGACAGCAGGTCACCTTTGAATGAATGGTGCTAAGCTAGGCAAGTGCCCACCTCTGGCCAGGAACAGGCTGTATGTAGCTCAGTGGTAGATCATCTGCTTTGAATGTCAAGGTCCCAGCTTCATTCCCTATCTCTTCAGGTAGGACTGGGGAAGACCCCCTGTTTGAGATCCTGGAGAGTTAACTGCCAAGCATTGTAGGCAGTGCTAAGCTAGATGAACCAGGGGTCTGATTCAGTATAAGGTAGCTCCCCATGTTCCTATGTCCTTGGCCTAGGCCATGGTTCATTCAAGGCAAGTTCTTCCAGCTGAGCTGTTTGCCCCCAAAGCAGATGATGCCTCTGAGCAGACAGAACTAGTGGTAGATATGCTTAGACTGAAGTCCAGCTCTGAGGGCCTTCTAGCGGTTCCCTCACTGTGAGAAGTGAGGTTACAGGGAACCAGGCAGAGGGCCTTCTTGGCAGTGGCGCTCTCCCTGTGGAATGCCCTCCCATCAGATGTCAAGGAGATAAAATAACTACAACTTTTAGAAGACATCTGAAGGCATCATCATCATCATCATTTATTATTTATACCCTGCCCATCTGGCTGAGTTTCCCCAGCCACTCTGGGCGGCTCCCAATCAAGTGTTAAAAACAATACAGCATTAAATATTAAAAACTTCCCTAAACAGGGCTGCCTTCAGATGTCTTTTAAATATAGGATAGCTGCTTATTTCCTTCACATCTGAAGGGAGGGTGTTCCACAGGTTGGGCGCCACTACCGAGAAGGCCCTCTGTCTGGTTCCCTGTAACCTCACTTCTTGCAATGAGGGAACCGCCAGAAGGCCCTCGGGCACTGGATCTCAGTGTCCAGACTGAATGATTGGGGTGGAGACACTCCTTCAGGTATACTGGACCGAGGCCGTTTAGGGCTTTAAAGGTCAGCACCAACACTTTGAATTGTGCTCGGAAATGTACAGGATAGGCAGCCCTATATTGGGAAGTTTTAAATGTGTGGTGTTTTATTTAGGAGTTTTTACGAGTGTTGGAAGCCGCCCAGGGTGGCTGGGGCAACCCATATGGATGGGCGAGGTAAATAAAAATAAAAATAAGTGATGGAGACTGCAACAGCTGGTCCTCTCTCCTTCCACACCAACTTGTGGCATATCTGTAGCCCTGTTTGATCACAAATGTGGGAAGGGAAGGGAAACCTCTCCTTGGAGGTGAGAAGCCATACCCCATGGCTTGATTCAGTGCTGGGAGCTAAAGGAATTCCTGGTCACAGCCCTGCCAACACTACCTGTGTGACAAAGATGGAAGCAAAATGCTTGGTTCTTTGGTCTCTGACCTTAAGAATGGTTTGCCATCTGGATAAGGTGGGACAAACTTCTTTGACGGCTTATTATGATACCACTTTAATAGTTACGTATTAATGTATACTGCTTATTATATTGCCTGATGGAGTTTTTTTTTAATAGAACAGACTGGCCGCCTTCTTTGCATTATGTGCAGTCTTATTATATGCACTTTCCCTTTGTTCGACTCTTTTAATAAACTCCCACTTCTCATCATGTGGTGTCATTTAGTGTGTGGAACTTCCTCCTCCCACTGGCCATTTTAATAAAGGTTATGCCTTTCCCCTTTGGATAACCTTCTCCTTGCAGATGGACTCTGCTTTTGCCGTTGTGGGAAGGTCATACCCATTAAGACACAGCCATGCTGTTTCTAAATGAACAACACTCTGCATATAAACAATGACTTTCTCATGAGTCAGAGCTCTGTAGTCTGGCCCTGTGGGGTGCTGTAACAGCCTAAGCTCCCGCTGCAACTTGCTATTACAGCAGCTAAGGGTCATATTTCCTTTATGGGAGAGAGAGAGAGAGAGAGAGAGAGAGAGAGAGAGAGAGAGAAATGTTCTGTCTAATCTAAGCTAAGCATATCACATGCATCTTTTAATCAGGCCTTCTGTTTTCTCTCTCTCTCTTCCTAATAGCAGATAAGTGCAATATAATCTTATCATGCAGTGATTCTGAAATGCAAAAAAATGCCTAGAACCAGATCCTGGTGCATTAAATAATATCAGAAGAGAGACTGTGATGACTTTATTAATATATAATGTAGCCCTTTGCTATAAAGTGAGCCGGTTCTTATTTGGTGTCTTCCCTTGCATAAGGAAAGCAGAGCTTAGATTTTAGGTATCAGTTTTCTGCAACCAAGGCTTTGTAATGAGCAAAGCACAGACCTTGAGTCAGATCACTCCCCACTCGCTTTACTCTTTGTGTTAATGCTGAACTCTTCCCCTTGCCTTTTTATTTCACTCAACTACACCGGAGCAGTAGGTTTTGCTTTACTTGTCTTGATTCAGAGTTGAGAATGGCAATGCTAGTGTTCAGTAAAAGAAAGTGGCTGGTGGAACAGTCATGTGCACATCAGTCCTATTGAGTTCAAGGGGGTTTATTGCCAGGTGACTGCATATAGGATTGCACCCTCAGCCATGTACTTGACACATGCGTTTTTGATGACGTGGAGTTTGATTGTGGTGGGAGCAGTTTGGTAGGGGGG